CGCCGGAAAATGGCGAATTTTCTACACAGAAACTCTTATTGCATGGGCCTGGTAAGCAAAATTGATAAATCCAGTTGCTATATATAGAAAAAATCCCATAACGCGTGGTGTAGCCAGAATCCATGTTTTAAGAGTTTTTGATTCCGAAAAATCGATTGAGAGCAAAACTGTCCGTCAGTAAGTGTACAATGCTAGCTCATAAACCGTTCGGCCGATTTTCTCCAAAATTGATATTCGCCAATTGTTGTAGCTGATAACGCAGACCTTGGAATTTGAAACTGAAATTTTAATTTTGGGGGTTACTTTTTCGTGAAGTCCCTGGAACAATTTCAATGTTTTCTAAAAAAAAAAAAAAAAAAAAGAAAGGGTCCATTTTTGAATTTTGTCGTTGGATAGTGCAAAGGACGTTTAAGAGAGTGGTGCAAATCTGTTTCGTTCACATCTCAGAGTTTTCGAAAATTCAAAACAAAATATTTTAAAACTTTAAAATCGAAGATAGAGAATTTTTCTTCAGAGGGCCGAATTCTCTGTCGTCACTTATAGGATAAGCGAACCCTTAAGTGATAAGTGCTTTCTCAAAGTAAGTATTCGCTTATAGGCGTTCATATTTCATAGACGTTCCTTACGACCGCGTAATGAATGTTCCCTTAAGCGGAAGGGAAATGTGGCAACATAGCATTGGCGGCAGCTGTTTTGAAGTTCTTGGCTACCGAGTTTACATACGCACTTTATCTTGTACAAAGAGCGTTTAATTTAATAGGGGACGGACACTCCAACGTAGAATTGACGTCGCGCGCTGGACGAAATATTTCTACTACCTCTAATATGTCCTCATACAGAAAAAAGAAGATATTTTGATATTGACATATTTTAATAATGTGTTTACTACCAATCACAAGCAGATATGTAACAATATAATCTTTGATTGTCATATAATTTCAATGACTATTTGACACCTGTATCATATTAATATTTTAAAAATGTATTAATTACAAATCCCTAAGAACTGTTTGGTAAAAAATATAATCCATGAACCTCATATCAAAATTTTAATGAATCTCTGCAATGTCTTGTGCATTTTCTACATTTATGTGCATTATTGGATTGTAATATAATACTTAACGTCAGTTTCAATTGATTCCACACGTTAACTTATGCTTTAGTTTAAATAATGTACATGGTATGAACATTTGTCCGCCAATATTGGTAATGGATTATTAACATTTCATCTAATTGTAAATGACAACCCCCTAGTATTAACATACATTCCATTTTACAACAATTTCAATTACTTCACTTGTTATTCAATTGCAAATTCACAATTACTTATAATACGTCATAAATCAGTAATAAATAAAAGTTAAAAATTTTGGAAACATTCCTTAAAGGATGAAGTTGCATAAAATCTTAATGCAACGAGAACTTTTAATAAGGGGGAAATCGGCAGTCCTCTTTTAGTCATTGGGACTTTGTCGGTCATCGGCACAATTGTGCGTATCCACTACAGTAGTTTTATTGAAACGAAACTGCTTTCGGAATTGTTTATCATTGTACATTTCCAATGGGTAGCTCATATCTCTCATATAACTCTTTGAATTTTCCAGGATGTGTTGAGTATGAAACTCAAAATAATCTTTGAAGTCGTTTTCCATAACACCTTTCACAAATGGAACGTTTTAACTGACTACACATACAAAGACCAGCAAAACGAATTCAATAGTCGGTGAACGCCGCGTAAAAGTATAACCTAAACTGGTTACGACTGACGATGCGAGGGAGCCATAAGGCACACTTAAGTGCGCAGGCTTATAGGAATGAGTTCTCACTTAAGACTTCACTCAAGGGCTGTTTATGAATACGATTCGTCCACTTAAGGGAACATTCAATGTAAGTGACGACTATGAATTCGGCCCAGACAGTCTGTTGTACAAACTTTGCTCTTCCAAAAAGGTCATGTATAAGTTTTTGAAAAAAACTAGCTTTTACGTTATTTCTGGTTGAAATTAATTAAATATATTCAGATTTTACACCATCTACGGGCCATAAGAGAAATTGAATGAATGATTTGAAAATTAATTGATTTAATTTTAATTATAATATCTTATTGAAAATGCCAATATTAATTCTATTTTTGCTTTGTTGAGTATTTATTTGTTTTTTTTTAAATATTCAACTTATTTTTTTTAAATATCTCTCACATCTTTAGTATGCACATTCCGTGTGATTTGTATAAATTATTGTATTTGTGAGTGGAAGCGGACTCCAAATAAAGTGCTTCGAAAACTCAAAACTTTTCTGTGAAAAAAGCTTCAAATTGCGCATTTATATTGGCATTTACAAACGCCATTATCTTATAAACGCCTAAAAATCAGTGAGAATTGTCATTTTGGTGAAGGTGGTGTATTTTTTATTCTTCAAGCAAAATTTCGGTTCTACTTTTTAGAACCCGAAAAATTGATTTTTTTAATGTACTTTAGGCGGTGAGAGAAGGCAGCTGGCAAAAGTATATGTATCTGAATAGCTAGCCCATATCAAAAAAAGGTAGAAAACTAATACGAGAAAGTCTGTGCCATTTTATTTCACCACTAGTTAATTTGAAAATGGAAACCGCATCAATAAGCAATTTATTAACTTATTAATAATGTAATGCATGCTTAGCATTTGTAAGTGTATGGGGGTACCTCTACGTTTACCGTGCTTTACCGTTACTTAAATGATTTTCATATTAATTAAACAAAGTGAACGTATTATTTTTGAATCATTCAACTTAATCACACACACGTAGGTTTTTTAATTTTATCAGCATAACATTATTGTAAAACCTCAAACCTGTAGGGACTTAATCGCATCTTGTGTATTTTACTGTTTCTCCAATACATTAAACATTTACATTAATTTATGATATAATAGGTCTGAAAGTTGTAAAATGTAAGTTGTGTAAGTTGTGTAGAAAGTTGTGTAATGTATTTTAATGTATATTAAAATGTTTAAATGAGATAAGCAATGTCATTAGGATAGATTCACGTTTGTGTGTTGGGATTTGTCCTCTTGGAACAAAATGTTTATTCGTCATGGATTTAATTTATGTCTAAAATACTCTCACGGTTAAACATTGGAAAGGAGTAACATCCGCTGTTTCAACTGATGACCGTCAGTTGCATGTTGGCAATGTAATGAATTTGAGGCCACGAAGTTCTTTCTGAACATTTTCAATGGAAATGAACAGTCATTAAACTTAATGCAAAAAGGAATTCTAAACTCTTATAATTTTTTAACGCGTTTTTATTATGCATACACTATTAATATCGTGCCCGACGATACCTCCATTCGAGGATAATAATATTTGAAATTTTTATCAGCATTTCATTAAATTCCGTCTCACTCAATTTGATTGAGATATGTAAAAATTCAATTTTAAAGAAATATTTCTTAACCCCGAATTCAGAGCGTTTCTAAAATTTCGAGGCGTTCGAGAGTGAGAAACTATTCACGAATTGGGCAGCATTAATTCAATGGCAGTACGTCAAACGATTAGTTTTATCACTAAATGAACATTCGTTTAATTGTCCTAACAAAACCACGTGGACCCCAGTCATTTAAAAAGTTCCAGAATTCTGAACCCTTCGATAGCTGAACTTTTCTTGCTTCTTGAGCCTTCCTTGCGACGTAATGAATTTGCAATATATCTTTATAATCTGTTTCCTTTCTAGCATATGAATATACAGCAATGCTAGTCGTACTATTGTATAGAGAAGATAAAAATAAATGATATGGCTTCTCTTTATATTCGCCATAAAACTGCTTCTCTCGGCGTTATTAAATTCCTTATAAATAATTACAAAATTATATAATAAAATTATATTATAAAATTCTTATAAAAAATTAAAAACGAAGAACTTTGCAGAACAGAAGACGATAGCGCCGATCGGATTGCGGAATTTTGTATTACGTATAAAGGGAATTTGGAGGTCATAGTAACATATTTGCTGATTTATTAACACAAGTTCAAAAGTTTGCCACTCTAAAGCGGGGAGCATCCCCCAGAACAGAAAAAAGCGCATTAACAATTTTGCAACAATTAACAATTTTAAACAATTCAGATTGATTGATTAGTGATGCCGGACGCGTCAACAACCAGGGTCAATTCCGTAAGAGTAGTGCATGTTTTTGCTGGGCGGTGGCTTTCCCCGCTGTATGGCAAGATCCGGGACCGACCTACCGTCGGCTAGCGGGGTTATCCCCAACCAAGTACCGATCATCAAAAATAAAACGTTTATTTTAACAAAACAATGACTTATAATGTATTTGTTTACATTTGCTTGGTATAATTATCCTAAAATGCTTAATAAACCTGCAACAAGTAGTGTACTTCAGCTTCCTAGTCAATGCCCCATCTCGATCACGTTTTTGTCCAATACCCTGGTCCATTGAGCAAATGCTGATATAGCCCCTTGATTTGCTTCTGGACATTAATGTAGCTTCACTATGCTCACCTTTTGCTTGTAGTGGTAGGAGTAGAGCATGGGGTGAGTTACTATTTTCTTAGCAATGCAAAAAAATCAAATCTGCAGTTCGTTTTCCAATAAGTTTTTTGTAACTTGAGAAAAAAAATGACCAATCTAGCACTTAATAATTTTAATTATATTATTTGTTTATTTTATTTATTAAACTTTTATTAATCTTTCAACTATTTATAGTTTAATACTTATAGTTTTTTGTATTATTCCCGAGTTCCTAGGTTTCTAACGAAACCATACACACCTGACCTGGGCGGAAGCTGCTTAGTTTTCTTTCAATTTCTGCACTTATTAGATACTATCAATTCTCATTGACCAATAATCTATTGATTAATGTGAGTGAAATGTTTGTATAAAATCTAAGGAATGTATTCAACTTCAATAACAATTGGCGTGGTAAATTTGAATTAGAAGTATAGCATGGGTAACAAAGAAGAAGACCATTAGTATTAGAATTTACATAATGAACCATTTATTTTTCAGGCGGATATGAGCACTTTCGTAGACACAGAAGCAATTCAAGCTGCTTACAACGACGTCCGTTCAGACACGAGCGAAACAGAATGGTAAGTTAAAATACGATGTAAAACTTTTTTCCACCAATTTTCTTCATCCGCTCCTTCCAGACCTTCTTCATCCGCTCCTTCCAGAATTTCTTCATCCGCTCCTTCCAGAATTTCTTCCTCCGCTCTTTCCAGAACTTCTTCGTCCGCTCTTTCCAGAACTTCTTCGTCCGCTCTTTCCAGAACTTCTCCGTCCGCTCTTTCCAGAACTTCTTCGTCCACTCTTTCCAGAACTT